TTTTTTTTTTTTTTGATACCGGGGATCGAACTCTGGACCTTGTGCTTTCGAGAAGGCGGCGGAACCACTGAGCTAAATCCCCGGCCCTGTAGAAACTTAATTCTTAAATTTTACTCCTTGATAAAGCAGACACACAGAAACTGATGTAAATGACTAAATGTTTACTCCCCTATCACAAGCTGCTGCAATTCCTTAGATGCCAACTCTCTGCCCCCTAGACTTGATATCAGTGAGACTACTTCAACCATCCAGATGTCTTTGGAGAAGCATCTTTTGCCCCACTCGGAAAGGATTTCCAACATGCTGGCTCCCGGCTCTTCAGTCCCTTCACGCAGTGTCCTGTCGCGGACTTGGTCTTTTGGCCCAGTCACAGCCGCCTCGTTCAGACTGCATTTTCCACTAACCTCAGGGTTAGGGAGAATCCAAGGCTCCCAACCTACGGCTGCAGCCTTCCGCACCACGAAATCCGGAGGCTCCCGTCTGCCACTCGCGCCTCAGCGGAGCCCACGGCTCCTTCCCGGAAGTAGACAGCCACCCAGGTGAACGCGGGAAGAGGAAAAGTGTTTGCCGCTCTACCCCAGAGTTTCGGTGGTTTCCGGGGACGCTCTCTCTTTCTTCTCGCTGGAAGGTTGGAGGACCGGCGAAAGGCTATTTGAGTTGCCAGCGGGCGGGCAGAGGCGGGCTCACGCTCCTTTCCTACGCCCTTCGGTGCCTGGAGGCGGGACGCAGGGTTGCGGGCCGGGCCTGCTCACGTGACCGACGCGGGCCCTGGAGCTGCCGGCCGCACTGAGGGGTGGGGGCGGAAGCGGCCACCGCAGCCCGGGAGGTAGCGGCCTGGAGGCAGGGGCCGGCTGGCCTCTGGGACAGCCGCGGCTGAGGAGAAAAATGGCGGAGGCTTCCGCGGCTGGGGCGGACGCGAAGGAGGAAGCTGTAGCCGCCCACCGGTTTTTCTGCCACTTTTGCAAGGGCGAGGTCAGCCCCAAACTACCGGTAAGAGCCCCTTATCCTCTGTGCTTGGGAACTGGCTTAGAATCCTGACCCCCAGGTTTCGGGGCCGGATCGTCCCCACATTGCCGACACCGCTCTCCCCAGGACCTGCTGCCGGTCGCCTCCGTTCTCTGGCCCCAAATCCTGCTGTCCGGGCCTTGGCTCTGTAACTCTTGCCCAACCCTTATTTCCTCCTTGTTTGCTCCACCTTGCTCCTCATGTCTTCTCCTCTTTTTTACCTGCCCTCCTTCATCTTCTTGTGTTCCTTAGCGAGTTCTCCTGACAACTCTCCCTTCAATTTTAGGGCACTCTTCTTCACCTTGTCTCCTTTCCCCCATGCCTCCCACCGTACATACCCTCTCCTCTGCTGCTTCTCCCCGTTTCCTTTCCCACTTTTCACCAACACTTGCTTTATACCTTTCGTGTAATCAGTGAAGGAAAATAACGGATTGCTGAAGATTGTTCCTGTTCGTTTGTCTCTAGAGAGGGGAGTACAGAGAGGGCTGGAAGAAAACGGGGGAGAGGGATTTTGGTCTTCAGTGGTTTCCAGGGTTCTTGTGAAAGTGAAAATAGCGGTGTGTTGATGACTTGCAGACTGCCTGTGCTCCCTCGTACTACGGAAGGAAATGAATTTATGGGGAAGGTAGAAGATGTTGTTTTAACTTAGTTTATTTTAGGTGTCGTGCTGCCAGTGTTTTCAGTGCCACCTGTCATACCTCCTCCTCCCCCACTCTCTGTTCGATTAAGGAAAAAATCCAGGACAGACTGTTAGGAACTGCTTCCTTAGATTTAAAATTGGTTTTCACCTGTTTCTGCCAGACTGTCAGCCAGTAGAGAAGTAGTGGTCTGTTCTGTGAAGAAACCGCTTCTGCAGTGTGCTAGACAGTGCCAGCATCCAAACCCAGAAACTGTTTTGGGTTTTAGAAATATCCAGGTTCAGTCTTAAGACAGAGTGGCTGCATAATAATTTACTTTTATATTTGCAGTGTTTCAAATAAAATCTGGGAGAAACCCTACTAAAGTGTGCCTGTGTGTCTTATTTCTTAGAAACACAAATGGAATACAGTGAATAAGTCCCTAGATAGTATTTTATAGCTTTTGCACCTAAAGTGTGTGTGTGTGTGTGTGTGTGTGTGTGTGTGTTTTCAGGCTTTTGCCAGGGGGCTGGTATTGGGGATTGAACCCAGGGCCTTTGCACATCCCAGTCCTTTAATTATTAGTTTTCAGACAGGGTTTTGCTAAATATCTAAGTTTCCCAGGGAAGGCTCGAACTTGCAAGTTTATGACTCTCCTGCCTCAGCCTTCCAGAGTGCTGGGATATCAGAAGTGTGCCTCCCTGTAAATTAATCATAAGTCCATGTAATGGTACCTGGTTTTGCTTGTTGATTTTGCTGTGTTTATATGCTTTCTGCCGTATTTCAGTGTTGGGAAGGCCTTGTTTTTTTTTCCAGCAGATGTTAAACCTCCAGAACACTCTCAACACAGATAGGGAATCTGGAGTTCAGCCAGTGTGTGTGACCAGTGCCTTGTTGAATATGATGCCATCGTGACCTTAGCTCTTTTGATCTTTTAAGTTGCTGTTCATTAATTTGCTTTTCAGAGAAGACAGTCTGCATTTCCACAGTTTTATTCTATGTTATCACTTCAAATGCTCATTTAAAATAGATATTTGAAAGGCTTTCAGGGGTGTTTTTCAAAGCCTTTGTTAGATGCCTGGAGAAGTTCTTAATCTTTTTAGTTTGATTTATTATATCATTCCTCACTTGTAAATTGAGGCCTATCACAATTGAATGTAACCATGTAACTACCATTACATACAGGGTTCTTTGCTGGATATTGTGGGGGGTTATATAGAGGAATATATGGTTCTTTTTAAGAATCTCACTTATGCCAGGTGTGGTGGCATGTGCATGTGATTGCAGCCCTCAGGAGGCTGAGGCAGGAAAACTGCTGTGAGCTTGAGGCCAGCCAGAACTACAAAGTGAGACTGTCTCGAAAAAGAAAAAAAAACGACTTTGGTTTTTTTGAAAGAAGAGACAGACATGGGAAAAGTAAGAGTAACAAAGTAACAATGTAGTCTTGCATTGTTGAGGAGAGGGACAAGTTCTGAGAAATGCATTAGGTGGTTTTGTTTTTGTGGAAACAGGGTGGAGTATAAGATGGCTACAGTGTCACTAGGCAATATAATTCTAGGGAACCACCCCTCTAGTCCATTTGTTGACTGAAATGTTACTGAATGACAGGAAAGTGAGTGAGGATAGTATGTGCTTTTGATTTCAGAGACAGTATGGAATCATTGGTGCCATCCGGGAAGGTGTGATAGACAAAAATGGGATTTGAATTGAGTTTTGAAGGATAGGTAGAATTCAGATTGAGAATACCCAAGAACATGAGGTAGCAAAAGGAAGAATAGGTTGAGGAAAAGGGAAAAGCACTTAGTACATCATTGTTTGTTCTTTTTTTTAATTGATAAGTAAAATATTACATATTTATGGAGTACATGTTATATATACATTGTGGAATGGCTAAAACTAATGGATGAGGTATGATCGATAAATACATTGAACATTTAAATATTTTAAAAAGTATCACAGGGCTGGGGATTTAGCTCAGTGGTGCTGCACCTGCCTGGCAAGAGCAAGGCCCTGAGTTCAATTCCTAGTACCAAAAAAAAAGTATTACAGTAAAAGACACATTGTAATTATTCCCCCTTGAAATACTCCCCCTCATTTCGAACACATTCCTGCTACTTTCTGTAGCAGTTCTGGAAGTCCTCTTTCTTGAATGTTTTTAGTCATGCTGTGATGCCTGCCTCCCTGTTTTGAATCAGAACCTTTACCTTTCATGGTCATTTTGACTTTGGGAAAGAGCCAGAAGTCCCATGGTGCCAGGTCCAGTGAATAGGATGGATGAGGACACACCGTGTTTTTATGAGCATGCCATTCTGTCAGATGGCACTTGGCATTAACACTCACTGTACTTTTGGTCATCTCTCATAAACACGTAAAAGAGAACTGCTTCAGAAAGTGGCAAGAACGATGGGATAAATGTTCAGAGTGAGGGGTAGGTAGCATTTTGAGAGGGACTAATGGCGGTGTGTGTTTTTTAATGTACTTTAAGAAATTTAAACACACTATATTTTATTTATTTGGTACTGGGGATCGAACTTGGGTCCTTGCACTTGTGGGGTAGGTGGCGGAACCACTACACACACTATACATACATATATATATATATTTTTATATATCCTTTCATTGGTACATTTTAGGTGTACAATATGACATTCATCATTGGAGATATGCACCTTTACATACTCTCTTGGTTCTTATTTTTCCCCCTTCACCTGCCCTCCCTTCAACCCCTCCATCCCTCCCTATTTACAAAGACTTTGTTTCCATTTTTTCATTTTCTTATATTCCATTCCCTTCTTTCCTTTCCCTTCCCCCTCCCACTTCCCCCTCCCCTTTGCCTACACACTATATTTTAATAAGCCCTTGTATACATGTTACCCTACTTACCTTTTTTTTGGGGGGGGGTGATGAGAACACTTAAAATCTGTTTTAGCAATTTTCAGATTATTATTGTCACGATGTGCAGTAGTAAATTGTTAAAATCATGCTTTTGGGAAAAGACACAATGAGGTTAGTTACAATTTTTTTTTTGGTCCAGTGTGCATTGGAGATTGAGGCAAGGGCCTTCACACTGAGTTACGTCTCCAATGTTTTTATTTTTTATTTTGAGACAAGGTCTTGCTAAGTTGCCCAAACTTTCCATCCTTCTGCCTCAGCCTCCCAGAGTGCTGGGTTATAGACATATGCTACCATGCCTGATTTACAGTTCTGATTTGTATATGAGCCAGTGAGTTTCATTATGTTTCATAGCCATTTCCCAGGCCATTATCTTGAAAATGTCATAAGAATGACCAGATCAGTAAGTATCTTGTTCAGTACAAACTTGTCTAGAGGCTCCTGAAAAATCAGCTAGTACTGGTAAAATGATCTGTATATTCACTAGGTATCTATGTTTACATAGGACAGCATTGAAAAAGTTTTTAGAGATAATTTTTGATGTAACCTTGAAATTCTCTCACTGTAAATACCCAGCATACAATAGAATGCATATTTCTTGAATTAGATGAATATTATAGGAAACTTGGCTGCCCTTCTGGGAATAGCCAGACCTGGTTCATCGTAGATAGTTTTTCATTGTCTAGATTAAATTTACATCTTTAGAGGGTACTGACCCTTCTGGTGATAGTGGGTGTCAAGAAGTGTTGCCCTTGAGTGCTGAGTGCTGTTCTTACTGAACACCAGGAACTGGGTATTGAGTTTACTCCAGCATCACTCCCCCCACCCCCCTGGGTTCTTGGGGTCCAACCCAGGGGTTGATGCAAGATAGGCAAGTGCTTTACCACTGAGCTACATCCTGAGCCCTTCATCAGCTTTTAATGAGGTATTACTAGGTATTTACCTACTTGATGGGAAGGACTACTTCACAGCCATTTCATCTGTTGCTGATTTATTCACCATATAGCAGAGCTATAAGGGTGTTTAGTGGAACTAGGTTGCAAGGTTTTACAACTCTCTTATTTCTTCTCTTTTACCAGATTCAGAATATAACACTTCTTGATACATTTGGAAGTACATATAGGAAACAGTAATAGCTTACCTAGTGTTCAGCCTTGAAACTACCTTTAATTATTTTTGTTAGTCTTATTTGATGGATTCATCAGTCAGGCTAACTTTAATGTTCATGTTAAGAGAACTAGTTTTGGCTGGGCATGGTGATGCACACTGTGTACACAGCCCTTGTGAGGCTGAGGCAGGAGGCTCTCCCTAAGTTTGAGTCCAGCCTAGGCTACGTAGTTCAAGGCTAGCCTGAACTATATAGAGACCCCTGACCCCCAAAAAGTTTTAGTTATACTTTTGGAGAGATCAAGGCCAGCCTGAACAATATAAAGACCGTGTCTCCAAAAAAAAGAAAGAAAGAAAGAAAGAGAAAAA